AGAGGGTCGTGCTGATAAGACCATCATGTTTGCCATGGATGGATTTGGGAAATGATTTTGCCTGTAATGTACTAGCAGTGGTTGATGAAGTGTGTGGGGGGGGGATAAAAATTATATGTACAGCAGTTAATGTGGAGAGAAGAAATAAGGGACATTTTGCATCTGAAATTTTTTTTTTTTTTTTAATCTGAACTGAACAGTAAATGCCAATGTTCAATATCACACTCCTCCTTGTTTTTTTGGACAGGAGTAGTTTTATCCTTTTTTTCTCTGTTTAGGATTGGGTCCCCAATTCCTTCTAAAGTCTCCTCATTTTCTTTCACTCCCAGTAATCCCTTGCATCTTAGTGGTGTTTATCATCTTGCTTGATTTTTTTTTTTTTTTTTTTTTTTTTAAACCTAGTGCAAAGGAGTTCCACTGTCAGGAAGTGTGGGAAAAGAAACTGTTGGAGTAGAAGTTACGTTTAACTATTTCAACAGCTAAAGGGTGGGACACAGATGCAAATCTAGTTGTATGCTTAAATTCATGTAGTTGGGACACCAGGGGAAAAAAATCAACAGGACAGTTGCCATGAAAATATTTGTAGAAAAGACAGAGGGAAGCCACATCATATCTGTGAGAAAGTGACTGAAGTAGAGATGCCAAGTCAGGATAGATCACATTGCAGATCCTTCTTTGGATTTTGTCAACAACCTTGAGAAGACCAGCAGGAACACCAGACCAGATATGGCAACAGTATTCAATGCACAGATGAATGGTAGATTTGTAAATATGCAAGATGGACTCTGATAAGAAAAACCTTCTGGCATGACACAATGAACCAATTTTCATTAGATGCAACTATTGATTCAATGTAGTTGTTTCACTTCAAATTAGATGAAAACATGAGGCCAAGAAGGTACATTGAGACACTCTTCTGGAGTTGAGCATCAGCCATGCTGGTGGTGGGCAGGAAAGTTTCTCTATAGTGGTTAAATGAGAGCAGTTTAGTTTTGGTGGCATTAAAATTTACAAGCCATTTCTAACCACTGATTGCAGGTCCTTTTCAAGAGCAGCGGCCAGGTTAACTTTGTCAGCTCCGCTGGATTTACTATTGAGACGGTAGTAAATAGTAGTGTCTGGCATGAGTAAATGGTAGTATAGAATTAGGAAAAAGGTTAATGAAAGAATTTACCTGAGCACCAAATATGTGACTGATATTAAAAAAAAAAAAAAAAAGTTTGTTTTTAAAAATGCTGCTCTTTTTCTTCAACTTAAAATTGAGTTAATGCTGAACCAAATAAAGCAATGGTTTGTTACATTTCATTTAAAACTACAGTTGTGAATGGAATACTTCAAGATTACTACACAAACATCAGCATCATTTCTCTCACTTGTCTGTTGTTAACTGTATTTTCATATTTAACAATGACGTTATTGACTGTTCATATTTAAGTTTAAAAAACATAGCTTTGGGAGAAGTTTGGTTATCACCATTCTTATAAACAATCAAATTCTTCATAATTGAATTCCAAGCTATTGTTGTGCCCACATATGGCATCATGTTTAATGTTTCCTGTATGGCTGGCAGATGTTGGGTTTCCAGTTTCTATTGGAATTCATTTCATGTGAACCTTTTTATTTTTATTGATATCTGAGGAAACTGTTACAATGCAAAGAAATGGCCCTGGACATTGTTGCGATTATCATTGTAACAAATTCAAATTAGAGTTGTTCAGCTGGTAGATAATTTCCATCACTGAAAATCGCAACAATCATAAGTATCTTTTATTTGATTATGTAAGTACCACCTGAAGAGGGAAATATAAATAGCTTTTCTCATATTGACACTTACTTATATTCATTAGGATGTTGTGATTGCTTATGGTTAAAAAAATCTGAAATCCTCCAAGTATATTTCCATCTGTATTTCATCCGCGACTTAAATTATGCGTTGACAACTGTTTTTAAGAGCTTGATTTTTTTTTTTTTTTTTTTTTTAATTTCACCCCAAGCAAGATGATGATGATGCCATTAAGAAGCAAGGTTTTACTGGCAGTGAAAGATAATGAGAAGCTCATCTAAACACTTGCCATGAAAATATTTATGGAAAAGTGACTGAAGTTGAGATGCTAGGTTAGGATCAATTTCATTACAGACCCTTCTTTGGATTTTGTCAAGAATCTTGAGATGTACAGTAAGAGCACCAAACTAGATGTGGTAACAGTATTCAATGCAGAGATTAATAGATTTATAAATGTGTAAGATAGATTCTGATAAGAAAAACTGTCTGGCACAACACAGTGAATCAACTTTCCTAGCGGTAGACCTATCAATTGGTTCAATATAATCATTCAGCTCAGAAAGCAATAGTTGAAATTTCTAGGGCATATAATGAGGGAAGAGGGCTTGGAAAATTTGATGCTCCCAGATCATATTGAAGTCAAGAGGGACAGAGAAAAACACTGCATAACCTACCTAGCAAGCTTGAGTAAATGGATGATGGAAAAATGTTTAGGAGAGAACAAAAAGATAAAATTTATTAAGAGCTACAAAGGACAGGAAATTGTGGAGAGCAATGATTGCTCATGTCCTGAATGGACATGGCACATAGAAGAAGGAGGTTGAGTTTGTATGTAGAGGAGAATATATGAATTGGTGTATCCAGTTTGTCATCAGTGTGTTGTATGAGATGGTGATGGATTTCATAGGGTAGGCAGTATTGTGTTGGAGTTTGCAAGGACCACGAGTTAAACTCAAGTACATTTTTGACAAGTCTCTCTCTCTCTCTCTCACACATTTTTGGCAGATGATGATGGTTTATTTCATGCATGAGTAACATTAAACTGATTACAGGTACTTCATTGTTGCTCAAGATTGCCAAATTTAAACCCTATTGAACACATGTGGGACATGTTACAAACCTCATCAAAGTTGCTGCAACCACACCCAATAAACACAAATCTTTTATCCACAATCCAGGAATGTGCTTGGATAGATATAACAACCTGATAACTCCAGCACCACAAAGACTCTATGCTCTATTACATAACTATTATTATTTAGGTAAATAGAGAAACCTTTTTTTTTTTTTTTTTTTTAAATCTCACTTCAGTATTTCTGTTGACCCATTAGCTGTGACATAAATTTTCATTGACATATATATATATATATATATATATATATATATATATATATTTATATAATCATTCATTTCTTTCTTCACTCTTTTATATCTGTTAAAAAATTCTCATAAATTTGGGAGTAAAAAAAAAAGATTGTTACACAACATCTTGTATATGGCAGTAAAATGCTGGACAATCTCCTCACAGGTAAATAAATGATTAGAAGCAACAGAAATGTGATCCTACATAAGATTGCTGAGAATACCATGGACATGTGAGCAAAAACAAGCTTTTACAGAAAATGGAAGCAAAAAGACCTTATACATAACATCAGAAAGAGATTGTTTCAATTTTTAGGGCATATAATAAGAGGGCTTGGAAAATTTGATACTCCCAGATCATATTGAAGTCAAGAGGGACATGAAAACAAAGCATAACCTACCTAGCGAGCTTCTATAAATAGATAGCAGATAAGACTTTCAGAGAGATAACGAAAAGATAGAATTTGTTAAGCACTACAAAGGACAGGAAATTGTTGAGAGCTATGGTCACCAACGTCCTGAAGGGACATGGCACATAAAAAAAATTGCTGTCTTCAAGAAGGCATGAGATTGGTAATTAAATAAGCTCTCAATTTGTTTAATATCCTAAAACATACTGGAATATATGGCAAATGCACTTGGTACAGACACAAAAAGGCCCCAGATCATATATGGACATACTTGTCAACACCAGTTACATCCGGGTTTCCCCCCCATTAACAACATGTTAGCTTGGCATGTCTAGCTACAGGCCTCTCTGCAACTGGTCAAGATCTAAGTCTTTGTAAGATGCCTCATGCTAATAAAATCAACAGGAAAAACCAGCATTTGGCAAGACACAGTGTCTTGTGAAGCCAGTTCTGTGATCAACTTTGTTCCTAAGGTTGCTGTGGTTTCCAAGGCAGTGTCATTTTTGCTACTTCCCATTGCTTTCCTTTCTCTACCTATTACCCCCCCTAGTTGCTGGGAAAGCAATCGGTTAGGTGTCTCCCTCAATCTCAATACACTCTTTGCTTACATTATAACAATATGTCAATTGCTATGTACAATTTGTTACCCCCCCCTCCCGCAAAAAAAGTGCATACAGATCAGTGGTTTTATAATATTATTCTTTTCTGCAGTAATGGTTTCAAATGGTGTAATCAGAATTTATTACTAAATATTCTAATCGGCACTTATTTCATTAACTTGTTGATTCTTTCATTCCTTATTACAAGCTTGTGATCATTTTAAGTAATACCAATTAACAAACACAAGTGAAAAAAAAATCTTCAACTACCATGTTTGTAATCTATGATTGACTCAAATGTCATCTTAAGTTTCCTCTCTAAACATTTGAATCTTAAAAAATAAATAAAAATAAAACCATTGACACAAAATTAGGTATATTTCTTTTGGGGAAAATTGAAACTTTGCTTTTTTTTTCTTGTATTAAATTTATATCACATTTAATTTCATATAAAAAATATAATGTTTAAACTAACCATTTTTCCCCACAGATCAGGGCAGCAATTATTTTTTATAATCATCTATGACAATCTATTTTGATATAATCCAATTGTCTGAACTGTTAGAAATGCAAACTTGTAATAACTGTGAATTTGTTCTGCAATTCATTTAGATTTATTTTCTACTGTTGATGTGACATGAGGGGAAAGTGTTATATGATAAAAACTTCTTACAATCAATGTTATTTATATTAAACAGTCAGTGTACATGTTTGTCTCTTGTGGGCTCAGACCAAGAGATCTAAAAATAAATAAATAAAAAAGCACATTTTGATGCTTTGTCCCAAGAGAAACAAGTAAATTAGTATTTCTTTTATCTACCACAAGAGTAAGATATTGTGCCAACAATGATTGCCTCGTTCAGGCTCCTTCTCTCCTTTCTTTGTGTGTGTCATTGGAGTTGCACACACCTTGAATGTGAATCTAGTGAATTTCTTTTCTTTACTGTAGAATCAGTTTATCTGCTGGGAGACAAGAGGATCTTATCACTATCTGTAGAGTCACTCATCATGTGCAATTTGTCCCAGCTCCTCTTTGCACTTTCCTCTAAAAAAGATGGCTTCTTGATGAACTTTTTTTCTTTTTTTCTTTTTTTTTATTTTAAAGATAGTAACTTTTTTTTTAATATTTATTCATCATACATCAAACAAATAGGTTTTCTTTTCTTCTTTTCCTTTTTCCTTCCTCTTTTCCTTTTTACTTCTTCTTTTCCTTTTTACTTCTTCTTCTTTTCCTTTTTACTTCTTCTTCTTTTCCTTTTTACTTCTTCTTCTTTTCCTTTTTACTTCTTCTTCTTTTCCTTTTTACTTCTTCTTTTCCTTTTTACTTCTTCTTCTTTTCCTTTTTTTTTCTTTTACTTCTTTTCTTTTCTTTTTTCTTCTTTTCCTTTTTATTCTTCTTCTTTTCCTTTTTACTTCTTCTTCTTTTCCTTTTTACTTCTTCTTTTCCTTTTTACTTCTTCTTCTTTTCCTTTCTTTTTTGTTTTTCTTTCTTTTTTGTCCCAGAGTATACACAAAAATAATTCTTTTTTTTTTTCAGAAAATAATATTTTGAATTATACAAACTTTCCTTAATTGGTTGTAAATAAACATTTCAGTCTTCCTGAAAAATGTAAAAAGAAATCATTGTGTCAACAATATCAAGAATACAAGAAGTTCAAGAATCTCTTTGTGATAAAATTTTCTCACCAGTAGATGAAATAAATTTGAATTCCTCTTTAGAGTCATTCTGTTGCTTTGTCCATTAATACTTTTAAAATACAATATGCGACAGAAATATCTCCCAGATATAAATAAGGCATTAGCTTAATGAGGGCACCATTTCCACTGATGTCTTACAGTTATATGGAAGGTATTTCTATCACACCTTTTATTTGGGGGTATTCATGAAATTTATTTTAAAGCAAGATACAGAAAGATCTTTAAGGAAAAATATGTAAACATATACACATGGTGGAGTAATAGCAGCTTGGATTGAGGAATCGGAGAGCAGAGTTTACATTCACTTATGTGCAAATACCCTTGGGAAAGGTAGGAATGCATTTTTTTCTCTCCCCAGCTATGGGTAAATAGCAGGACAGACTAGGTAGGTTTTACAGCCTTGGATGGCAACTAGTCTATGAGAAGGACAACTCTAAATTCAAAACCTGAGGAAACTCGTTTGGAGACCTTGTGACTCACTGTACCAGTTCTCTGTATTTGATTCTTCCAAAAAATGTGGTCAGTTCTGCACAAGCCTTCACCACTATAATCAGATCATATGGGTGGATAGTATTGACTGTTCTGTTTTTAGATCAGAATTACTGTACCCTCATGTCAAAAATGATGGGAGAGTCTGGTTATATATATATATATATTATACCACACACATGTTATTTGTCAAAGATAAACTAAAGTTGGCTTAAATACCTATCTGGATAAGAGAACTGCCTTGATTTAAAATTTAGTATCACACATGGGAATATACATAAATTTTACAATCCTGTACCTATATATGATAATTCTAATCCTAACTAATGTGTCCATTTACTATTACAATGATTAAAATGTTAGTTTAATTTGAATATGAGTAGGGCACAGCTTCTAAATAAATTTTGTGATATTTCAAATTTTTAATGAAAATTTATGCACTCTACTATTTCTATCTTTCATCAGTGTATTCCAGGAGAGACAGAATTTTTATTTATTTATTTATTTTTTTTTTTTTTTTTTTGCATTTATATGAGAAAAATGTTTAAGATGTCCATCCTTCATAGTTGAAAAATGTCTTATTTTCCAACCTTATTTAAAGCAATGTCAAGTTTGAACAATTGAGGTTATTGTAATCCTTTTTTAAAATTGTGAAAAGCCTGTCTATATTGGGAACTTAAAATCTTATTGATTTTCTATAATTGTGTCAGATGTAGATGTGGCCTCCCCCAAAAAAGAAAAAAAAACAAGTTCATGGTTACAGACTGCATAGAACAAAGTAGTGGAGAAATTATCCATGAAATAGTTCACCAACTTTGTCTTTTTTTAGTTATTTCACTGCATTATATTTAAGGTATATATTTTTCAACAATTATATATATATATATATATATATATATATATATATATATATATATATAGTTCTAAGGTATACTATATTTACACGCTAAAGTGCTCAATATCAGGGATAAATGCAATCTTCAAGCCATGAAGATTGGATTATCTATCTCTCACACACACACATATATATATATATATATATATATATATATATATATATATGTGAGAGAGCCTTGTTGAACTGTAACACTCTGTAGTCTAATGGTAAAGCACACCGAACAAATGGTGGTTTCTCCTGTAAAGGTTCAATCCCTGCTGGAGAACACATTTTTTTTAATTGAGCCTTCTCAAATATGCAGGCTGGTAATCTATAAGAATTTCAGCAGAATCATGCCCATGTTGCAACTCAATATGGTCTGCAAAATGTTCAACAACTCTCCTGTTGATTTTCAGATCTGGTCTGAACGACACCTGATTAGTTTTCTTAGCCCACCTAAAACTTCTGCCTTTTTTTTTTTTTTTTTTTTTTTTTATTAATGTTCACCCAATACAAGGCCCAAATGCCACTCAAGGTGGAGGGTTACTGTGTAGTGTTATGAGTGTAGGAAAAGGCATGTGAAGTTCATGGGGTTATGAAGGAAAAATAATGGGTAACCCTAAACTTGAAGAGGTCAAAGTTGTAGTGATTTTGGAAAACATTGTTCCAGAATCAGCAGATGCAAAAAAAACATGGAATAATGTATCACAGGATGGTATTCATCTATGCAAACCTGTGTACTTATATATATATATATATATATCACCAAAATAGATACTGACAAGGAATACAAATTTGCTGGTATCCTTGCAATTGTCCTAAGGAAATGTGCTCCTGAACAGGTTCCTGTTCTCTCCAATACTGCAACAAATTGTTACTTCTTACCTTCCAGCTTGTTGGAAATCCTCTTCTGTAATGCTGTCTTTAAGAACTATGGTTGATCCATTGAATTATCATCCAATTAATCTCTTACCTCTTTTGGTAAAGTACTAGACGCTCTAATCAACTCTGAATTGGTTAAAATCTTACTTTAAATCCCCTTCTGTCAGATAATGTTTTTTTTTTCTTCTTTAGGTCATTTGCTGATATGTTAATGGTTATTACTGAATTTGTCTGTCAGGCTTTAGATAAGAATGGTGAGGATTGGGCTGGTTTTTCTATTTTTCTATAAATATTTTCACAGCAGTTATTCTAATGAGCTTTCCTCCTTGGTACCTCAATCACATGAATTTAAGTATAGTACTACATTAGTTACTAGATCTTATTACTTTACTGTTGAAATAGCTAGACGTAACTGTAAGTCCTATTCTAATAGTTTTTCTCACCTCAAGTAATCTCTTCATGTTTCTTGCTTCTCTGTCACCCATGATCTTTAAAAATTTGAATGAAACATCAATCACCATCTTCTACTGAATCCTGTTCTTTTATGGTCTTATTCTCCCACTAATGTCTTCTCATATGTTTTCTCTCACAGTAACTGCTTTGTGTATTAGTGGCAATATCACCTTGCTCGTGATAAGATGATTTAAAATATATATATATATATATATATATATATATATATATATATATATATATATATAAATGATGTAAACAAAGTCATCATATATTTTATAACAATCATTTTCATGGTGTGTAAAGTGCTTAGTACTTGAGAATTTATATATTTTTTCCTTTTATTCTAAGCTTTTTATATATTTTATGTGCATATACAGTATATAAAATATATTAATCTATTTGCTTTGATATATATAATAAAACAGCAGCTGCCAAATTTTATTGGGAACAGTCCTCCTGTCACTCAACATTTTTTTTTTTGTACCTTGATGGTGTACCAGAGGGTAATGATTGCAAAAATATTATCTGGTTAAAAGGTATTAGAAATGTCTGCTTACAGACATTCATCTCCTGTGTAACTATTTTTGTTGTTTTTGTTTCTTTTTTTTAATTTTCCTTTCTGAATAGAGTACTTGTATATAACTTTCTTTTGGATGCTTTTATCTGCTTCATCAGTATGTTCTAAGAAAATCTAAGATAAATGTTGGTTTCTGTTGGTACAAACAGAAAGTGAATGTATTTGTATGGTGCTCTGTTAAGTGTTCTTTTAATATTAAAGCCTGATGCCAAATTTGAAAGTTTAAGATATCCATATGTTGATCCTATAAATTCTGCTAAGTCTGGCAGATATTGACAAAAACTGGGTTTTATATACCTATCTGGTTATTTTATTTTATTTTTTTTTTTAAATAACATAAAATGAGTAAATACCTGTTTACAAAAGCAAAATCATATAAATATACATTAACCTTTGTTAATATTTGAACTTATCTGTGATATAGGGCTATTTTTTGTCTTTTGTTAAAACTAAATTAGTTATCATATATTTGAATTTAGGAATGTCATTTATTAAATACAAGTCCCTAGTGTTATTTGCATAATTTATTTTTTATTCACTTGAGCTATCTTGGACATTCATGAGTCTGATGCAGGACCATTTGGCGAGACAATGTCAAAAGGTCATTTTGATTGCTGAGTGACCAGCCTGTCTTGCACCAAGTCCAGAGAAGTAGATCACTTGCAAGTTCTTGTTTTGCTTACCAACAGTGTCCAGCAAAGCGCATTCTGCGTTCGCCTAAGATTGTAGAAATATAAGGGATGGATCCATAGAGCTGTGATTTAATTGGATGTTGTCTTCAAGAGATGTTTAGAGCTCTGGTTGTCCAAGTGTAGGTTCCATCAAGCTTAGAGTCTAGGGTTTTACTTAATATCCAGGCAGTGGCAACATACATGACTCTACAGTGGCATGAAAGTAGCTCCGTTTGAGGTTGTCTGGTAGATCGGATTTCCAGTGCACTATTTACATGCAAACTAATCTTTATTGTTGTTATCACATTTTGGCTGTTGTGCCCTTTAGGACACTAGCTTAGTGGGTTAAAGCATTGGTGATATTAAAAAAAAAAAAAAAAAAAAAAAAAAATAGTGATTCCAATCCCTGGGCTGGGCAGTGTGCACTTGGACTCTGTGGAAATGGGGCGTGCAATAACTGAGCAGTACTAAAAATAAGAACTAAATGAAATATCTCTATGGTCAGTGGAATGAGAACAATCTATCATAGGTAAAGATTTCAGTCAGAATTCCCTGTAGGTTACCTGGATTAATACAGACCTGTTGAAGGCCAGAGGGTACAATGGCTGAAATGCTGTGATAACAACAAAGATGAGGACAATAGTCTGCATGTAAATAGTGCAAGTAATAACTCCTCATCTCAGAAATTCAGGCAGAAAGCAACTTACTGATTCTTATGTGTAGTAGGAGTGTGTACGAGTGAAATACAAAATATTGAACACTTTGATATAGTCAAGGTTCTTTTTCAAGTGATGTATTTTTTTGGATGTTATCGAATTACAGATTGTATGTTTGAAATATGTTGGTGTGGATCTTCAAAAGTTTCTCAAAATATTAGTGTTATTTGATCATTCAATGGAAGCAATTATTCAATCCATAAAAA